ACACAACTTTCAAATATAAAAGCTTCTTTTAGCAAATGGAAACATAAAACATCATTGTCCCACAATGTCTTAATTTATAATGAAAAATGTAACCTAAATATAAAAATATGACGTTTTGCCAACTTTTTTTCTCTTAAGGCTTCATTATAGAATTTATTCAGTTTAATGTCAGGACTTTGACTAGGCCAATACACATTGATTCTTTTCTTTTTTTTTCTCAGCTGTAATGCTGCCAATTCAAATTTGGGCCTCTTGTTTAATTTTAAAAATACTTAATGTAGAGAGGAGCAGATGATTGATTTATTGACTACAAGGAGTAAAGGTCCTGAAAAACTTGCCAGAAAAACTTGCCAGAATCAGCATCTCTCCAATGACCTGCTTGATAGTCATGACATTTTTGTGATGATATTCTGGTCTTGGTTTCCTCCAAATATGTATTGTACGGTATTGCTAAACATCTATAATTTAAAAACCTTCTAGATTAGCCAGATGTAACCTTTCAAATCTATGTCCTGCTGCCATAAGCATTTAAGATAGCATTTTTTTTCTTCAGTCTTTTTCCAAGTCCCTCTTGAAAAATGTAACCTTTTACTATGGTAGACTACATCTCGGACCCTGAGATGAAGTCTATCTTCATGTCACATTTGCTTTCTACCACTTTGCTGTTTTTGCAGCAGTTTTACTTCTTTTCATGTCAAACCTTGGGCAAATAATTATATTTAGTGACTTTTATTACCCAACAAAATGGCCTCTCCATGAATTTAATTGAAAACTTCCATCAAATCACCAAGGGCAATGGCCCATTATTAATAACCACACCATGATTATCATGGTGTAAAAACATTAAAAGTATCTGCTGAAGTTATTACATAATTTATCCCCGAAGTGAACATGTTGTGCAGTTAATGTACATGTTTATATATTTAAAAACATAAGAAATTCTTCAGCCGTAACAAAAGTAACAGGGAGACACAGACTGATAACATAATTAAGCTCTTTATTTAACAAAATAATGTGAAAAATAATTGTACATTTGTTAAGTGAAAGAAAACTATATGTGGCTTTGAAATAAAAATAAAATCTGAAAATTGTGGTGTGCATTTATATTTAGCCCACCTGACTCAATACTTTGTAGAACCAGCTTTAGCTGCGAGTCTTGTGGGACATGTCATTACCAACTTTGCACATTTTGGAAACATACTTTTTTTTCAATTTTTATTTGAAAAGCAGCTCAACCTCTGCAAACATCAACTTTCAAGTCTCACCACAGATTCTCAATTGAATTTACGTCTGACCTTTGACTGGGCGACTCCAACTTATGCATATGGACACTGGAAGGTGAATCTCCAGTTGAGTCCTGCAAACTAACAGCTTTTTTTATTATACATATCCAGGACTGCTCTATAGTTAGCTCAAGAAAATGTAAAAAACATGAAGTTTTTTTAATGCTTAGTTAGGGCAGTTTACATAACTGTGTTAAAAAAAGGAAATTGTGGAGACAGTAATGTCAAATTAAATTTGAACATTTGTACTGATCTATTTTACATAATGGTGTCATTAGTTTGAATGTCCAAACTAGAAACACGCCACTGTGGTAAACTGGCAGATAAAATCTGTAGATTACTATAGACCAGACTCACCCTCATTTTTTACTTCATTTGAAATGGAGACCATTTTCAGAATGGGGAAGCTGAATTAGAGCTACAGACACTGTGGAAAAGTAAAAAGTCTAGTTTATGACTGTGACGTTGACTACATTGTTTTTGTTCTCTTGGGTAGAAATATGAAGGTACATTGCTGTCAAAAGTTTGTCCTTTAATCTCCCAGAGCTGCTGGAAACCAGTGGCAGGTGTCAGGCTTGTCTATCTGGGAGAAGTACATCCTGAACTGTTTTTTTACAGCGAGAACTTCCTATCAACATTTGTGTTTATCTATTTAGCATCAAAACAGCAGCACAAAAAATATGGCTATATGCATAATACACTTTGTGCTACCTGAATATACAGAACTATGCAGCAAATTTTCAAACATCCATCAGAGTCGCACACTATACAGAAGAACAAAGCTGGTAGTTTTCATTCGATATGTCATTTAATACTGATAGGGAAAAATGTTGATAAAGTTGTTAAGAAAACATGTCATATTTCTCATTTTAAAACTGTTCTGAGGAGAGCTAAAGACTTAGGTGGCAGACGGAAGTTGGAAAAAGAATAAACAGAACAGTGTGCTGCAGTGGGGGAAATCCCACCTGTTCCCTGAGGAAAGTTCGAAACAGAGTGTAAATCTGCCGTTTGAATTTAATCAGGGCAGGACTCTGAGCACAGCTGCAGATGCTCTTTGGATTGGCTGAAGGTTTAAGGCGCTAACATCAAAGACTCCATCACTTTCAGTGCCAGGAAGAGCCGGGAGGGTCATCCGTCTCCGGATAAGCGTAATTAAAAGATGTGAGATGGAACAGGGAGGGATCTGGGCTGAGGTGAGAAACTCTTGACTGGGTTTACACCTGTTTACTCTAAAGATAACCATGTGTCAAACAACCTGAGGAGAAAATACCTACCTCAGCCTCCCAGCTGCTCCTGCAAAGCTTCTTGGTTTAATCGACATGCAGCATAACCCGGAGCAGGCAGAACAAAGCTGACCGCCCCTGTTCAGTGTGAGGGACTGCCCCTCATCTGTGATGGTTGATACCTTGGAGGGCTTATTTTACTTTATAATTAAATGATGTGATTATGTGGCATTGCATTGTTTACCTCACAATTACTACAAAACCTTAGCTCTTCTACATGTTTTCATGACCAAACCTCAAATTTCAGTGTATTTTAATTTATGTGATAGAACAATAGAGTGATGCATTATTGTAAAGTGGAATACATTTTTAAAGTGTCTTTCAAATAAACTTGTGGTGTACAAACGTCCGTACAGCATGATGCTGCCACCACCATATTTCATAGTGGAAATGGCTTGTTCAGGGTGATGGGCTGCTTTCTGACAGAAACGGATCCAACTGTGTGTTAATGATACTTGTTGGAAGTTGCTCTACTCATAGTAGTCATGGTTAAAAAAAGAAAAAAGAAAAAAAAAGATTTGCTGAGGAAGACATGTTTTATGGCTGCAGTAGTTTTTTTTTCTTTTTTCTTTTCCTTAATAGAGTGAGAATGTGGTGAATTGTCTGTCAATTGCTTTAAAATGTCTCTTTTGATTTCTGAGTCAGTTTTAGCAGAACTCCCAACACATTCAGAGAAGGCACAGAGAGAGGTATCTCTGTCTTTATCGCAGTACTCCATCAATGAAATAGACATTTCATCACCAAACCATCCCTGTGTTGTGCAACAAAGTTCCTCTTTGTCTGTGTGGGGGAATCAATCTTTTAACTTAATTTATTGTTGTTGTTTTTTGTGAGAATCAATTTGCTCTTTTGATAAATGTCCAGAAAAATCTAAGCAAGAAAGTAATTTCTTTTTTTTTTATTTTTTTTTTTTTTTACTTTCTGTAAAAATATACTTCTGGAAATATAGTGTCAGCCAGGGACATCTAGCAGGAAGCTTGTATGAGGCAATATATCAGTTTTCAGGGAGTGAATCGGGTAGGGAATGCTCACTCTTTTGTAAGAGACAAACTTCTTGCACCTTTCCATATCTGGATAAATTGCTTTTTGAAAACAGAAGGATCATTAATACAAGACAATACAGTGGTGTGCAAAAGAGTTCAGATGCTTATAGACTTTATTTTGTTGTTATTTCTTTTGTCATACTTGAATGTTTCAGAATACACAACTGCAATACTGGATTAAGATAAATTAAGCAAAGAAGTGGCTTTTAAACAGTACTGTCATTTATTAAGGAAAGAAAAAGCTTTCCAAACAAACCTGGCCTGATTTAAAATGTAATTGCCTCCTACATCTAGTAACTCGTTCTACCACCATCAGGAATTTTGACTCTCTTTACCTTTGCCATATTGGAGAGTATGAGTATGAACAGCATGTCTAAGGTCATACTTCAGGATCTAATCTGGGTTTAGAACTTTGATGTGTCTGGTTTTCATCAGTCATTCAGAGGTGACCATTGTCGTGCTGCATGACCAAACAGCGAAGCTTGATTTGGACATTCTTCTGCAGGTTGTTCTGATAAAGAAAAAATTCACGATTCCACAAGTTATAGCAAATCATCCAGGTCTAGAGGAAGCAAATCAACCCCAAACCCTCAAACTATCACCATGTTTAACGCCCAGTGTGATGATGCTCTGCGTCTCCAATGCTCTGTAACATTTTAGGTCTGTCATGTAACACGAATCATGTCTTCCAAATGTTCCAGTTTTGCTTCATCAGTCACCAGAAAGTCTCAGCGACCATCAAGATGTTTTTGGTAAAAGTGAGATGTGCCTTTATGGTTTCTTTGGTCAGCAGTGGTTTTGGCCTTTTAACTCTCCCATGGAGGCTATTTTTGTCCAGCCTCCCTTTCCTAATGCTGTATCTTGAATATGCAGTGAGGCCTGCAGAGCTTTAGACGCAGTAAAGGTGGCCATCTGGTTGAATCACCGATGTGCTCTAGGAGTAATTGGAGTCATTTTAGTGGAGTGGTCTCTCCTGGGAATGTTCACCACTGCTTCATGTTTACTCCAGTCATGGATTAAGGCTCTCCCTTTGGTTCACTGGTATTCCAAACTCTTAAAAATGGCTTTGCAACCCCTAAACATGTCTGGCTATTTCAATTGTGTTTGGTCTGTTAGTGATTTCAGCTACACATTCAACTATGCTTATAATACAATATGAAAAAAAACAACAACAAAAAAACCCTGCCATACCAGTAAGTGTGTGTTATCCCAAAGAGAGGCTGTGTGTGTGCTTTGCAAATTGAGTTGGGGACATTTCCCCAAAACAGCCTCTCCTTTCACTAATAGCCACCAAGTGTGTGCTGCAGTCACAAACGCTGGCTGAGAGAAATCAACACTTTCTGTGATGCGACCCCCCCCAAGGCCGACTCAAAAGGCCTTTGTGCCAGTATTTCTCACCCTCTAGAGACAGAGGTGAGGCACTGCTGCTTGATGCCAGCATGATCCCTGGAAAGAGAAGAGACCTGCATCTTCAGCGGCACAGAAGGGATTGCTGATGTTATTGGCCATACTAAGAGTCAATGAAAGAAGGAATCCTCAGGGGAGGAGCGAGCGGTACCACTCTTCCTCTCCGACCCTCCATTCCTTTCAAAAGAAGAGAAATCTTTCCAAAAGGATCTGGGAAAATTTGTTAAAATCTTAGAGTTCTTAAAGCTTCAATGGTTTGGTCAGTTGCTGAACATTCGTTCATTATCCTACCTGAAACAAGTAGTTTGTTTTTCCGGTTTGTCCCGGTTGTGTCTGATTTGCTACTTGAGTTTTTATTCAGTATACCTCTAAATACAGGGTAGAGATAGATCAATAACAAATTTACACTTTGATGAGGTAATAGCTTTTAATGATTTTTCTGGAAGACAGGTTCTTATCTCAGACGGAAACAAATAACAGTGCTGAGGCAGAATAAATTAATTAATGTTTATTTAATGTGGAATAATTATTCGATCAGCGGGGAAGGAAAGGAATTCATCTCAGAATGATAATTAGATTGTTTAATTGGTTAAATACGATGTACATATGAGTCAAACAGTATTTTAACTTAAAATTGCACTAATTTGCACAAGATTAAGTACAAACTTGAAATTGCAATCTGTTAAAGTAGTGTCTTGTTACTTTATTATTTTGATGCTTCAACTTATTTTGTTGTCAATCTGGAATATAATAAAAAAGTGTGCTGTAACCATGTAAAAATAAACATTTGGTATGATTATTTAAAACAGATCCACGAAGATAAAAAAAATACAGTATCTGTTGAAGAGGAAAAAAAGTCTGTGAAATCTGAGAAATAAATAATAAAAAGAAAAAATATATATCTTGCTTCCAATTCCGCTTTATTTATTTCCAACATATTTCTACCAAAGCTGAGCTTAGTTTGATTTAGCCAAATTGGGCCTCTAAAGGAATAACGTTCGCACATTGGACCTGCAGAGCATCACAGCTAACTGATCCCAAATGGAACGGAGCCAGAATTCTTACTGAATCTTGCCAAAGTAAAGCAGATTTGATTGAGCGAGTTCATTTCATTCATTTTGTGTTCAGGGCTGCTTCAGATCAGCCACTGCCAGGCCTGCTACATGCGGCTGCTGCTCATTAGGATCAAAGCAATCACCCTGTTCTCCTCCAAACAGATTTCGGCCAGCATCGTTGACTGCTGCCAACATTGTGTGAAGGCACGGCATCTCTATGAGTGGAGGAATGGTGGAGGTATGTCGATGGTGGGGATGGGATCTGACTGCACTCTCTAAACTGGTTCTGTGTTCACAGCTTGCAACAGATGGGGCAACAGCAGTCGTGAAACACTCACACACCGGGGACTCGACAATAACTCTCAAATGAAGTTGTGCAACAAGGAAACAGAAAAGGGATTTCTTGGTTGTGGTTAAGGCTCATATCTTCCCCGCTTTTTTGAATGGATTTAGTTAGAAATACAGATAGGTTAGTTAAGAGTTGATCCAACTGAAAATTAAAGAACAAAGTTCTGTCTTGCAACTGTTCATTTTTCAGGTTTCACAAGACTTGTTTAATGTATTTTTCATGCATAAAAAAAAAAAAAAAATCCACCAGCACCTACCAGTCCGTTCACCAGACCTCAATGTCCCTCCCAGCAGGTGGTGTGTCCACATGGAAGGGGTTTCCTGTTGTTTCTTCAGACCGAAACCATGTGCGTGCTGGTAAGATATCTCCCCCATCCTGGCTCATGGAAGATGGCCACATTTGAAGCAGGGAGAATATATTGATTTCTTCTTACCAAATGATGCTGTTTTCCTATGTAGTCACATCCACCATGACTGAAAGAACAAGAACCAAGAAGAAGAGTTACTCCTCCTCTGCATCTCATCAGGATGTGTCCTGCAGGCCTCCATCTGAGCGTTTCCTAAGCATATTCCGCTGGGAGACGGCAAGGCAATTTCATTTGTTTAGCACATTTGCATGATTTACATGATTAGAAGGAATGTACAACAAGAAAATAAGCAAAAAGCATTACATTACACTGACAAAGTAAGGTAAAATGATGACAGGTTTTCTAAAAAGTCTACACTTTATGAGTTTCCAGTTGTTACTAATCAAAAACTGTTCTAAAAACAGTGAGGTTTTAGGCTTGATTTAAAAGAAATCAGTAGTTCAGAAAATATGGAAGTTTGTTACCAAAATAGAGGAGCATAAAAACTGAATGATTCTCTAAGAAGAGAAATGTACTGACTGTCGAACTTGGCTTAAAAAAATTTAACTAAAGCATTTCCATGAATTAAGCACAAACTATATAATGTCCCAGCAAAACTGCCTCAAAATAGTCCTTTGCAACTGCAACATTAAACATGTGGATAATGCCATAATGATTGATAGGAAAAGTAAATATTGCTATTGTTTTCTTGTCATTAAAATATTCTTGAAACAGTGCAGGTTTTTTGGTTACATTTCAAATCAAAACAAGTTAATTCAGTCAGTAAATATCACTGTGTGGAAAAGTTTTAGCTTTAGCTTTTCACCTAACTGGAGTCAAGTCTTGAACGAGATTCCTTGGTAAATAATACAAAAAATGTCAACATACTGTAAAACTGCAGGGTTTTTTTTTAGAACACAACCTGGACATTGCTATTTTATTTCCAGAAACTCTGCTGTGTTGAATAAAACATAATGCAATAGGTGTATTTTGTTTGCTGGTAGTAGAGAATCGCAACGGGGTGGCTGTGTTTCAGTGGGTTAGATTCCAGCTTGGCCCTGGGCAAGGCACTTACCACCAAGTTGCCTACAGTTCTGCGCATGAAAACATGCTTTAGTGTGACTGGGAGAATGTATTTAGTATAAATAAGTGTGAATAGAAAGGTGCTGCATAAACTCAGCCAATTTAACATTTACAGAGTGAGTAAACACAAGAAAGAGCAACTGCATTTAGATCACAATGTAACAAAAATAATAAAAATATTTCCCTTTGGAGTTTCAGATAATATCCTAAATTTAACATCATGAGAAAGGTTTTCAGAGACTGATTAAATTCCCACATTGTTTTTTTAATTAAACACGAAATTAAATTATGATTCATGCACCTCTGCAGTTGTGAAATTGGACTATTTACCTAATAGTTCATAAGGAGGCTTAAATGTTAAAAGATACAAAACAAACAAACAAAAAAATCCAGTCTGAACCAGAGATAAACAAGAGTCTCTGTGCCTCAGGAAGGAGAGAGAAGGACAAAAATAGCTACGGAGAACTGGCAGAGGACTTGGACTGCCAGTCATGACCAGTTTCCTTCAAATCCTCAGTGCAGGGCATTATTACTGAAACTAGATTTCACTGTCACTATGGCTGTACCCCGGCCTGCAGGACCTTTGTTTACTCAGACAGAAAGAGGTTGTATTCCTATTTCACATTGTTAATGCAGGCAACATAAAATATGTACACAATATAAATTAATCAGGCTCTTAAGAAAACAATGTAGCTTCTGGAATATCAAAAGGTTTGATTCACACACAAAAAAAATAAAAAAAATAAAAAAGTTATTTTTCTCCCTCCTGGTGGCTGTTCATTAAAACTGTGTGGGCTAAAAGCAGCAGGCCTGCATTAACTGCAAATCAGAGATCCTGATTTAATTCAGTAAATTAGGGGAGCCGCAATAACTTTAGGAAAACTTTAAAACCACCCTGCAATTAAAGCTCATGTAAATGTGAGAACTAGAATTTTTTTTTACAACTGGCAAGGAAGTTAAAGATTAGTTTTGTAAGTTTGAAGCTACACTTTTTTTTTACCTGCTACAGTTCCAGTCATAGGTTTGTTAAAGTCACTATTGTTTCTTTTTTAAGGATTTATTTGACATTGTGATTTACAGTCTGGGTCAAAGTCATGGAGAGGCTCAAAAATATAAATAAAATCAACACCACACCCTGTTATTTGACTGTCTTTGAGCAAGTTACAGTGAGACCTTTATGCTGTTACGATTTAGCAAAATGGATGAGGTTGTTGTCATTCCACAATGTTAATGTTTACCTCCTTTATCCACTCCAGCATGGATGAGAGTATGGGATTTGTTCATGTTAATTGTAAGTTTCATTTACGTAGCCGTTGATTTGAGGTGAAGTTGGAAGAACGTGGAGGTCATCAGTCTGTCCAACATACCAGAACTACTGGCATCAAAACAGGCTCAACAGCTTGAGCAGTGATTTTAGGTTTGAAAGCTTCACCCAGACTGTTGGCAACTTTCCTCATATTTTTAACAAACCACTCCATTTTTGTCTTGTAAATCACAAACGTTTCTTTAAATGACATTCTGGTTCTCAGTGTAGGCAGCTGCAAAATTCAGTCGAGTCTGAAGGTGTTGATTTTTGAGCAGATGCTTCCTCTTGGATCAGCCCATGCTGATACTTGGGTTCATCAGATTTCCAATATTTATTTCAGTGAGCCCATGCACACATGAAAACCGGTTTTGGAACATGTGTGAGCGAGACTTCGATCCTATCGAAAACTTCTGGAAATGCTTCAATGCTAAACCCAACAGTACTCAATCAGTTTAACCAATTCTTCTACGAAAAGTGGTCAAATATTAAGCCTGAATCACACAAAAGGCTCACTGCTTTCATTTGGCTTCTTGATTGGACCTGCTAACTTTTACTTTAATCTTCATTAGCACAAAATTCAGGCCCATATATTTATATGTAAACCTTTGATTTGAACTGTATGATTGAAATCTTTATTTAGCTTATGATCACAAAATATTTGATTCTGTCCATAAGCAATATCATATTAATTTTATAGAAGACATCTCAATAACCTTAAATACAGTAAATAATAATTTTAGAAGTTACTTCAGAAGTGTCTGTTTGTGGTCTGACAAAACACAGCAAACAATGACGATTAATCTAGAGCAGATCAAAGACCGAGACACAGAGCAATACTAAAGGAAGGTTTATTAGAATAAACAAAGAAAACATCACAAAGACAAAATAGCTATAAATCTATCAATTTCCTCATTTTATTTCTTATACAGTGTGTTTATTTCAGACTTCAATAGCAAACAGCCGATAATGTGAGGTGAAGAGGATTGAGAAACCTTTAACCCATCAGAAACTGCCACAATTATCTGGGAGCATGGATGTGTCGAGGAAAGCTTCAGGTTGTTCCTTTTTATAGCCACATCCCATCACACACACACACACACACACACACACACGTTCAAACTCACTCAGACCAAGGTCGTCACTTTGGTCGGTAAGCATTTCACCTGAAGAGCCCCACACTCGTCACGTAGCACCCTTCAGGGTCTGAACAGCCGACGGCTCACCGAAAGGTCAAAACACTCACACACACTGTTTATAATTATTTACACATCTGTAAAGCCCAAAGCGTTTCAGCCCCCGCTCCCTCCCAGCAGGGATCAGAATGGTGAAAGGAGCTAGTGGATCCTCGTCAGCTCCTCTACGATCTTAATCACCTCGTCCACTGTGGCTTCACGCTTCATGCCGCTGCCATCATCGATCTGAAAATGAAAGACAGCGAGCGGTGAGCCGAGAGGAGTAAATGCACGAGCAGCAGCCGACAACGTCCACAAATATTTCACTTGAATGAAATGTTATTCTCCTTTCCATTGTTTTCAGAGCTTTATTTCCGATGTTTTGAAGTGCACACCAAAACGCTGGGAATCTTTTATCTTGTCCACAAAGACAACAGACTGCAGCTTTTTCCCCTCTGGTTTATTTTTTATTAATCGCACCAGAAGGTAAATGTAAAGACTTTTCCTCAGAGACAGAAACCATTTATAATTTAAGCACTGAACAATCTTGATGACAAAAAAAAATAAATAAAAAAAAGCTATTCGAAGTCTGCTCCATTTAAATGTAACCTCCTTATAGGTGTAAACTGATGTCAATCTGGATTTCTGTCTGTTAACTTCACCCTGAAAATAGAGATTTCACTCCAGATTTCACACATTTGAAGTTAAACTAAAGCATAAATATTTAAAATATGCATATATTCAGTTTCTCTGTGATGCAAATTAGTTATTGCAGCTGTGTTTAAAGCAATGTTCCACTTTAATTTTGTGGGAGGAAAAAACTAACATTTTTTTGCTATTATCAGCTGTTCTTCACAAGAAAACTTATCAGATATTTTCAAGGCAAAATAATTTAAATAGATCCTTGAAGGTTCAAAAAGAGAGCAAAAAATGGTGCTTCCACCATTTTACTGCTTCCACTGGATGTAAAAGGGAAAAGCAGAAGCCAAGTCCCACTAGTCAAATGAACAAGATTTACTGACCGCCTCAATAAAAGCAGGAGCTATCAATTGTGTGGATGTTCCACAAAATTCAGCAGGAGGAAGCCCTGTCTTTCTAAAAAAAAACAATATGCCTGCAGAAGCTTTCATAATAATAGTTAGAAATGGAGCCAGAACCATGATGATCATGGGCTTGTTACGTCATTCCATTATGTGGCAAAGCATCTGCTGACCACATGCCCAAATATTGTAAAATCCAACATGAGGCTAAGTAGTAGCAACAGTTTGGGTAAATTAGGACATGAACCAGAACAATGTTTCAAACAGGGTGTTGCAGTGGCCCAGTCAAAGTCCAGACCCCCCACCTGACTGACTGAAATGGGACATTAAGAGAACTGTCCAGACATTATAAAACTTCCAACTATTAAAACAAAAATATTTCTCTTTTATAATTTCTGCTCTGATTTCTGATTCATACAAAACGTCTCCTTTATTTATCAACTTGTGTGTCAATTTAAAAAAGGTTTTGTTGCAACTCTTTATCTAAGAGATACATTTAAGAATTATGTTTTTAAAAGCCAAGGTAACGCATCCACTGGCAAAAATTTCAATTTTCTTCCCCCTTCAAGATAAGAGAGGGAACCAGGAGATACAGAAGCTTCAGGGGAGCAGACTTCAAGAAAAGGAAATAAATGGCAATTCGTTTCCTAAATCTAATCTTAATGGAGCTAAATTGTTTCTTATCTGTGGCTTTGGGTTTAGTAGTGTGTAAACAAAACAATTTGGTTTGTGAATGCCAGAGTCCAGACAGAAGAGTGTCCACTTCAGCATGTCACATATCAGGGAAGAATAGCTGAGGCCAAAATGACTGAAGCTCTTAACCACTAAAGTGAGACTCAACCTTCAAATCTTCCCCCAGACAGTTTAAGAGAAAAAAGCACACATACACAGAGAGAGGAAAAAAAAGAAAAACATCCAAGCAAAAAAAAAAAAAAAAAAAATCCTCTTTGTGGGTGATTGACTGTCAGTCAGTCAGCTTGACAGACAGATAAATAAATACCCTTAGGAGATAAATATCCCCTGATAAAAATTATATCGCTATAAACAGGAGACGGGAAGTTTGTCCCCAAGAAGCTTTTAAAACATTGAATACAATTTTATAGAACTGAGCTTGATTATTGCTGGAATGTTCTTAATAGGCTTTCCGTCAACCAAACGACCAAACAAACCAAAGAACATTTGAGAAGTAAAAAGCATTCAAATTTATACGTTTGTGATCAGTCTAGAAATGTTAAATGTAAATGTTAGAAACATGAGGTGAAGTGCAGGTGATTTGAACTGTAAGAGGAGAA